GTAGATTTGGGTACAATAAGAGGCGAAAAAGCAGATTCTGACTAAGATTTTATCGAAATCGGCAACTATTTGACTCAGAAAGGTTGCCTTACGTCGAAATCTAATAGTTTATTAAGGTTTTCGTTACTAAAATGCCCAAAGACGCCGATTTTGACTAGAATTTGAAAGATATTGACATGAATATATAACTGTTTGTATCAAAAAATGATAGTTTAAACTGATATTTGCAGTTTTGATGCGGTTTAGATACGATATGAATCGAAGAAGCTGATTTTGACTGGAATCTGTTTAAAATGACAAAGAAAAACCTATTATCAATTCAAGGAAGTGAATTTTTAAGTAGTTATCTGCAGTTTTAATGTAGATTTCAGTTCGCTAAGTTATGAAAATGCATGTTTTGGCTCTAATCTTAAGTAAATCAAGGGCGAAAACCAATTATTTGTCCCAAAAGAAGGTGTTTTAAGTATATATCTGCATTTCTAAGGTAGATTTGGGTACAATAAGAGGCGAAAAAGCAGATTCTGACTAAGATTTTATCGAAATCGGCAACTATTTGACTCAGAATGGTTGCCTTACGTCGAAATCTAATAGTTTATTAAGGTTTTCGTTACTAAAATGCCCAAAGACGCCGATTTTGACTAGAATTTGAAAGATATTGACATGAATATATAACTGTTTGTATCAAAAAATGATAGTTTAAACTGATATTTGCAGTTTTGATGCGGTTTTAGGTACGATATGAGTCGAAGAAGCCGATTTTGACTGGAATCTGTTTAAAATGACAAAGAAAAACCTATTATCAATTCAAGGAAGTGAATTTTTAAGTAGTTATCTGCAGTTTTAATGTAGATTTCAGTTCGCTAAGTTATGAAAATGCATGTTTTGGCTATAATATTCCGTAAATTAAGGGCGAAAACCAATTATTTGTCCCAAAAGAAGGTGTTTTAAGTATATATCTGCATTTCTAAGGTAGATTTGGGTACAATAAGAGGCGAAAAAGCAGATTCTGACTAAGATTTTATCGAAATCGGCAACTATTTGACTCAGAATGGTTGCCTTACGTCGAAATCTAATAGTTTATTAAGGTTTTCGTTACTAAAATGCCCAAAGACGCGGATTTTGACTAGAATTTGAAAGATATTGACATGAATATATAACTGTTTGTATCAAAAAATGATAGTTTAAACTGATATTTGCAGTTTTGATGCGGTTTTAGATACGATATGAATCGAAGAAGCCGATTTTGACTGGAATCTGTTTAAAATGACAAAGAAAAACCTATTATCAATTCAAGGAAGTGAATTTTTATGTAGTTATCTGCAGTTTTAATGTAAATTTCAGTTCGCTAAGTTATGAAAATGCATGTTTTGGCTATAATCTTCCGTAAATCAAGGGCGAAAACCAATTATTTGTCCCAAAAGAAGGTGTTTTAAGTATATATCTGCATTTCTAAGGTAGATTTGGGTACAATAAGAGGCGAAAAAGCAGATTCTGACTAAGATTTTATCGAAATCGGCAACTATTTGACTCAGAATGGTTGCCTAACGTCGAAATTTAATAGTTTATTAAGGTTTTCGTTACTAAAATGCCCAAAGACGCCGATTTTGACTAGAATTTGAAAGATATTGACATGAATATATAACTGTTTGTATCAAAAAATGATAGTTTAAACTGATATTTGCAGTTTTGATGCGGTTTTAGATACGATATGAATCGAAGAAGCCGATTTTGACTGGAATCTGTTTAAAATGACAAAGAAAAACCTATTATCAATTCAAGGAAGTGAATTTTTAAGTAGTTATCTGCAGTTTTAATGTAGATTTCAGTTCGCTAAGTTATGAAAATGCATGTTTTGGCTATAATCTTCCGTAAATCAAGGGCGAAAACTAATTATTTGTCCCAAAAGAAGGTGTTTTAAGTATATATCTGCATTTCTAAGGTAGATTTGGGTACAATAAGAGGCGAAAAAGCAGATTCTGACTAAGATTTTATCGAAATCGGCAACTATTTGACTCAGAATGGTTGCCTTACGTCGAAATCTAATAGTTTATTAAGGTTTTCGTTACTAAAATGCCCAAAGACGCCGATTTTGACTAGAATTTGAAAGATATTGACATGAATATATAACTGTTTGTATCAAAAAATGATAGTTTAAACTGATATTTGCAGTTTTGATGCGGTTTTAGGTACGATATGAGTCGAAGAAACCGATTTTGACTGGAATCTGTTTAAAATGACAAAGAAAAACCTATTATCAATTCAAGGAAGTGAATTTTTAAGTAGTTATCTGCAGTTTTAATGTAGATTTCAGTTCGCTAAGTTATGAAAATGCATGTTTTGGCTATAATCTTCCGTAAATCAAGGGCGAAAACCAATTATTTGTCCCAAAAGAAGGTGTTTTAAGTATATATCTGCATTTCTAAGGTAGATTTGGGTACAATAAGAGGCGAAAAAGCAGATTCTGACTAAGATTTTATCGAAATCGGCAACTATTTGACTCAGAAAGGTTGCCTTACGTCGAAATCTAATAGTTTATTAAGGTTTTCGTTACTAAAATGCCCAAAGACGCCGATTTTGACTAGAATTTGAAAGATATTGACATGAATATATAACTGTTTGTATCAAAAAATGATAGTTTAAACTGATATTTGCAGTTTTGATGCGGTTTAGATACGATATGAATCGAAGAAGCTGATTTTGACTGGAATCTGTTTAAAATGACAAAGAAAAACCTATTATCAATTCAAGGAAGTGAATTTTTAAGTAGTTATCTGCAGTTTTAATGTAGATTTCAGTTCGCTAAGTTATGAAAATGCATGTTTTGGCTCTAATCTTAAGTAAATCAAGGGCGAAAACCAATTATTTGTCCCAAAAGAAGGTGTTTTAAGTATATATCTGCATTTCTAAGGTAGATTTGGGTACAATAAGAGGCGAAAAAGCAGATTCTGACTAAGATTTTATCGAAATCGGCAACTATTTGACTCAGAATGGTTGCCTTACGTCGAAATCTAATAGTTTATTAAGGTTTTCGTTACTAAAATGCCCAAAGACGCCGATTTTGACTAGAATTTGAAAGATATTGACATGAATATATAACTGTTTGTATCAAAAAATGATAGTTTAAACTGATATTTGCAGTTTTGATGCGGTTTTAGATACGATATGAATCGAAGAAGCCGATTTTGATTGGAATCTGTTTAAAATGACAAAGAAAAACCTATTATCAATTCAAGGAAGTGAATTTTTAAGTAGTTATCTGCAGTTTTAATGTAGATTTCATTTCGCTAAGTTATGAAAATGCATGTTTTGACTATAATCTTCCGTAAATCAAGGGCGAAAACCAATTATTTGTCCCAAAAGAAGGTGTTTTAAGTATATATCTGCATTTCTAAGGTAGATTTGGGTACAATAAGAGGCGAAAAAGCAGATTCTGACTAAGAATTTATCGAAATCGGCAACTATTTGACTCAGAATGGTTGTCTTACGTCGAAATCTAATAGTTTATTAAGGTTTTCGTTACTAAAATGCCCAAAGACGCCGATTTTGACTAGAATTTGAAAGATATTGACATGAATATATAACTGTTTGTATCAAAAAATGATAGTTTAAACTGATATTTGCAGTTTTGATGCGGTTTTAGGTACGATATGAGTCGAAGAAGCCGATTTGGCTGGAATCTGTTTAAAATGACAAAGAAAAACCTATTATCAATTCAAGGAAGTGAATTTTTAAGTAGTTATCTGCAGTTTTAATGTAGATTTCAGTTCGCTAAGTTATGAAAATGCATGTTTTGGCTATAATCTTCCGTAAATTAAGGGCGAAAACCAATTATTTGTCCCAAAAGAAGGTGTTTTAAGTATATATCTGCATTTCTAAGGTAGATTTGGGTACAATAAGAGGCGAAAAAGCAGATTCTGACTAAGATTTTATCGAAATCGGCAACTATTTGACTCAGAATGGTTGCTTTACGTCGAAATCTAATAGTTTATTAAGGTTTTCGTTACTAAAATGCCCAAAGACGCGGATTTTGACTAGAATTTGAAAGATATTGACATGAATATATAACTGTTTGTATCAAAAAATGATAGTTTAAACTGATATTTGCAGTTTTGATGCGGTTTTAGATACGATATGAATCGAAGAAGCCGATTTTGACTGGAATCTGTTTAAAATGACAAAGAAAAACCTATTATCAATTCAAGGAAGTGAATTTTTATGTAGTTATCTGCAGTTTTAATGTAGATTTCAGTTCGCTAAGTTATGAAAATGCATGTTTTGGATATAATCTTCCGTAAATCAAGGGCGAAAACCAATTATTTGTCCCAAAAGAAGGTGTTTTAAGTATATATCTGCATTTCTAAGGTAGATTTGGGTACAATAAGAGGCGAAAAAGCAGATTCTGACTAAGATTTTATCGAAATCGGCAACTATTTGTCTCAGAAAGGTTGCCTTACGTCGAAATCTAATAGTTTATTAAGGTTTTCGTTACTAAAATGCTTAAAGACGCCGATTTTGACTAGAATTTGAAAGATATTGACATGAATATATAACTGTTTGTATCAAAAAATGATAGTTTAAACTGATATTTGCAGTTTTGATGCGGTTTTAGGTACGATATGAGTCGAAGAAGCCGATTTTGACTGGAATCTGTTTAAAATGATAAGGAAAAACCTACTATCAATCCAAGAAAGTGAATTTTGTGTGAAGTTGGTGAAGTTACCTATAGTTTTAATGTAAATTTCATTCCGCTAAGTTATGGCCACGTGGAGACGTCGGGCCAGTTCGTACCTATATCCGCAGCAGGTCTCCAAGGTGAAGAGCCTCTAGTCGATAGTTTTATTGAAATTTTTTATTATTTTATGTTATGTTATGTTATTTTATTTTATTGAAATCTTTCACGCCTGTTGAGTCGTTTAATGTTACAACTCTAAATTCGTATCTTAATTTCTTGTGATTTTTTGAGTAGAAATCAAACACACACGTGTTGACATTGCGAGATTTTATTCTTGACTATATATAGGCATGGACCCGGGTCGAACACAGAACACAAAATTAGACAGTTCATCTCAGCTGTGATGCTGCGGTGTCGGTTGTATGCGACGTTGCCAGAACGTGCGATTTGTGCCTAACATGCCGGCCGCCTTGACAGCCGCTAGGCTTCAACGGATGTTTGATTGTCATCATTCGGAAGGAGACAAAGTTTGACTGCTGGTCGCTTTACAGTTGTGGATGGTGTCTTTACAGTTGCTGCACGAACTATTCCGTCACTTCCTGGATGAACATCTTGTACGATTCCAAGCTTCCATTTCAATGGGGGCAAATCGTCCTCCTTGATGATAACCAAGGAACCTGGCTTTAGCAATTTCGGATAGCATTTAGTCCAATTCAACCTTTGCTGCAGTTCCGATATAAATTCGTTGGACCAACGCTTCCAGAAGTGTTGTACTGGACGTTGACATCTTTGAAACTTCGATAAACGGTTTTCTGGTATTGGTGTGAAGTCCGATTCGGGAATTTTTGTCAGCCTTTCTCCAATCAGGAAGTGCGAAGGTGTCAAGGCTTGAGGATCATTGGGGTCTGAATTGAGAGGAGTTAATGGCCGGGAATTTAAATAAGCTTCAATTTGGCATAAAATCGTTGAAAATTCTTCATAGGCTAAAGGTGTGTCCTTTAACACTCGTTTTAAATGGTGTTTTGTCGAACGAACTCCAGCCTCCCAGAGGCCAACGAAATGAGGTGCTTTGGGGGGAATAAAATGCCAGGTAGTTCCGTTAACACTTAATTGTCTTTGAATTTCGTCTTGATTTTTAATGATTAATTTTTCTAATTCATTTTTTGATCCTACAAAATTAGTGCCATGATCAGAACCATTAATTATTTTTTTTTAAAGACGTCGTTAGTTGCGAAAAAAAAATTCCAACCGGGCTTTATTTTTTATTTTCAATTTTTAACGAAATCTTAAAGGAAAATGATTTGTGGTTCTTAAAAGAACCGGTTTGTTGTTAATAATAATAAAAGAGATTATTATTAATCTTAAGCTCTCTCTCCCCTGATACGCCTTGCCAATTGAATATCTTTCGGCATGATCGTTACTCGTTTGGCATGAATGGCGCACAAATTTGTATCTTCGAAAAGACCGACGAGATAAGCTTCGCTCGCTTCTTGCAACGCCATAACCGCGAAACTTTGGAAACGCAGATCCGTTTTAAAGTCTTGAGCGATTTCTCTGACCAGTCCTTGGAACGGTAATTTTCGGATCAATAGTTCGGTGCTCTTTTGATAACGTCTAATTTCTCTCAAAGCCACGGTGCCCGGTCTGTAGCGATGAGGTTTTTTAACTACTCCCGTTGCCGGTGCACTTTTTCTCGCCGCTTTGGTCGCCAACTGCTTTCGGGGTGCTTTTCCTCCGGTCGATTTACGAGCGGTCTGCTTGGTTCTCGGAAAAACGTAGATATTTAAAAAAATGAAAAACCTAAAATTTATGAGAAAAACGACAAAAATGAAAATAACAAATCGAAAATATTAACCGAAAATGGGGGGCTGAGGAGGACATTATAGTATGTGCGGATAAACCACATTGATGCGCATTTTCTATAAAGACATGAACCTTCTCGGATCAAGACTAGTTGAAAAATAAATTTAAAATCTCATTTCAATTAGAAAAAACAGTTTAAAAATCAATGATCAATATTGAACTTTTTATATATTATTTGTTAATAATTTTGAGAAATTGAAACTTATACATTAAATACTCTAGTCCTTCCTCTATTCAATGATTTATTTATTCAATTACTCGTAATTAATTATTTTACAAAAATTTTTAGCCTCCAACAGAAATCGTTCCCGACGGCAAACGGTACAACTTGTGTGAGACTTTTTGGTATGGTTAGTTAAAGTAAGCGAGATTTAAATCATAAATTGCTGACCATCGATTTTGGAGCTGATATTTCAGACCCAAATGGGATTTCGAGGTAATATCCCAAAAGCTTGCAAAATTTTGCCTAAAGTGGTTTCTGAGGATTAGAAATCTGAAACCGAAACTACTTTTTGAAAATATCGACATTTAATGACGATTTAAGATTTTATTTATTAAATTGTAACTCTCGGCACAGTTCATAATACCGTTTAAACCTATCTTTTTCAGTTTCTCATTTGCGGCTAATATTTTACCTATGAAAACGGCAATTTTCAGGGTCTTTTAGTTTTTGAACATAACCGTATACACAATGTACATAATCGAGAAAATTACAGAATTAGAGAAAAGATTGAAATTTGTATCGAAGTTAGAGGTCAATGAGGTCCATTCGCAAATACTACAAAATAAGCCTAAAACCATTCGCCATCATTAGTTAATATTCTCAAGTTATAATATTCTTGGAAATTATCATACTAATCAAAAATTCCCGCTTTCATTTTTTTAAAAAACTTACGTTGCTTCGAAAAGTTTGAACTTTTTGCTGAAAATTAAAGTCAACCAGGTCTATAAATTAAAATTATAAAGTCCTCTCCAGCTCCCACCATTTAATTGTAAATAATAATTAATATAAAATTTTGTCTTGAAAGAAGTGACATTTTTTTACATTCAAGCTGAATCCGGCATTGCTCAAGGCCTCTATCACCCTCTCCAATGATGCCAGATATTCTTCAAAAGTCTCCGATGGTATTAGAATATATTCGAGGTAGACTAACGCAAATGTATTTTTCAGATACCCTAACGTTTTATCGATTGACCTTTGGAACACTGCAGGAACATTTGCCAGCCCGAACTGCATACGCAGATATTCATAGTGGCCATCAGGTGTGACAAATGCCATCTTATGAACAGATGTTGAATCGGTGGGAATTTGGTGGAACCCGGAGGATATATCCAGTGACGGAAAAATTTTACCTTTACTGAGACGGTCAAGTTGGTCCTCTATTAATGGTAATGGATAATGGTCTTTTATTGTATGCGAAGTCAACTCATGATAGTCATAACTTAATCGGTAGGAACCCTCCTTCTTCTTGACGAGTTGAGTACATATCTGCATTTGTAAGTTAGATTTGGGTGCATTAAGAGGCGAAAAAGCGGATTCTGCCAAGGATCTTATCGAAATCGGCAACTATTTGACTCAGTAAGGGGGTTTTACACCGATATTTAATGGTTTATAAAGATTTTCTCTACTACAATGCTTAAAACGAAAATTTTGGCTAGCATTTGAAAGATATGGACATGAATATGTAACTTTTTGGATAAAAATTGATAGTTTAAGCTGATATTTGCAGTTTTGATTCGGTTTTAGGTACGATATGAGTCGGTGAAGCCGAATTTGACTGGAATCTGTTTAAAATAGAAGGAAAAACCTGCTATCAATCCAAGAAAGTGACTTTTTAAGTAGTTAGCTGCAGTTTTAATGTAGATTTCAGTCTGTTGAGTTATGAAAATGAATTTTATGACTATAATCTACCGTAAATCAAGGGTAAAAACCAATTTTTTGTCCCAAAAAAGGGGCTTTAACTACATATCTGCTTTTCTAAGGTAGATTTGGATACAAAAGGAGGCGAAAAAGCAGATTCTGACTAAGATCTTATCGAAATCGGCAACTATTTGACTCAGAAAGGGGGTTTTACATCGATATCTAATGTTTTGTAAAGGTTTGCTTTACTGTAATGAACGAAGACGCCAACTTTGACTAGGATTTGAAACATATTGACAATAGGTAACTGTGTGGATCAAAAAATGAGAGCATAAGCTGATATCTGCAGTTTTGATGCGGTGTTAGGTTAGATATGTGTCGGAGGAGACTATTTTGACTGGAATCTGTAAGAAGAATGGAAGAAAAACCTTTTACCAATCCAAGAAAGAGGGTTTGATGATGTCATCTGCAGTTTTAAAGTGGATTTCAGTCCGATAAGTTGTCTGGGACAAGGAATGCGTGTTCGTTGCTGTAAATCAAGTGCGAAAACTACTTATTTGTACCAGAAAGAGGGGAAAATCCAGATTCTGACAGGGATATTCTCGAAACTGGAGTCTATTTGGCCGAGATAAGAGGTTTTACATCGACATCTACTGGTTAGTTTTGTATGTACTGAAAAACAAAAAATTAGTTTTCGCCCCTGATTTACGGTAGATTATAATCAAAACAGGCATTTTCATGACCTAACGGACTAAAATCTACATTAATACTGCAGGTAACTACTTAAAAAATCACTTTCTTGGATTAATAGCAGGTTTTTCCTTCTCATTTAAAACAGATTCCATTCAAAATCGGCTTCTCCGACTCATATCGTACATAAAACCGCATCAAAACTGCAAATATCAGCTTAAACTATCAATTCTTGATCCAAAAAGTTACATATTCATGTCAATATCTTTCAAATACTATCCAAAATTGGCGTCTTTAAGCATTATATTAGTATATTGTATATATTACAGGGTGTTCGGTATATTTTGTTCTATATTAAAAAATGTGGTGATCCGGTAGAAGTCCATTCCCGCACTAATATAACCGCTGGGGGGAACTTTATGGTATCTGTGGATAGACCTCATTGACCTTCATTTTCGAAAAAAAATTGAACTTTCTCAGAGAAACGTAGGTATTTTAAAAAATTAAAAATCTACATTTTTTACCGTTTGCCTTCGGGGACGGTTTTTGTGGGATACTGCAAATTTTTAAAAAATGCTTAATTGCAATTAAATGGAGGGGGCTAGGAGGGGACTTTATAGTAAAAAATAGTAGGTTGTTTAATTAAGTTTTCATTTTTTTTTTCTCGGAAGAGCTAAGAAACTTAGAATTCAACCCGTTTTTTTAAATATCTTTCCGACCCCCTATCTTCTTGCTAAATTTCAGCCGGATCGGTTAATATCGTTCTCGATTAAAAATTTTTATGGTTATTAGGGCGTGAATTTTGTATTTAATGTTTTCACAAATTTTACAGCGGTTTTGAGGCGAAAACCACTTATTTGTACCAGAAAGAGGGGCTTTGGGTACATACCTGCAATTCTAAGGTGGATTTCGGTGCAATAAGAGGGGAAAATCCAGATTCTGACAGATAAACTCGAAACTGGACTCTATTTGGCCGAGATAAGTGGTTTTACATCGATATTTACTGGTTAGTTTTGTATGTACTTTTTGGGACGAAATCAAGAGCGAAAACCATTTATTTTTCACAAAGAGATTGGTTTTAAGTACATATCTGCTACTAAACTACTTAAAAAATAACTTTCTTGGATTGATAGCAGGTTTTTAGTTCTCATTTTAAACAGATTTCAGTCAAAATCGGCTTCTCCGACTCATTTCGTACCTAAAACCCCATCAAAACTGCAAATATCTCAAACTATCACTTTTTGATACAAAAAGTTACATATTAATGTCAATATCTTTCAAATACTAGCCAAAATTGGCGTCTTAGAGCATTATAGTAGAGAAAATCTTCATAAACCATTGAATATCGGTGTAAAACCCCCTTTCTGAGTAAAATAGTTACCTGCCAGAATCTGCTTTTTCACCTCTTGGTGCACCCAAATCTACCTTAGAAAAGCAGATATGTACTTAAAACCCCTTTTTTGGGACAAATAATTGGTTTTCTCCCTTGATTTACGGTAGATTATAGTCAAAACTGCAGGTAACTACTTAAAAATTCACTTTCTTGGATTGATGTTTGAGCTAATATCTGCAGTTTTGAAGCTTTTTTAGGTTCCATATGTGTCGGATTAGCTGATTCTGACTGCAATTTGTTTGAAATCAGGAAGAAAAACTAACTATAAATCCAAGTAAGCGGCTTTTAAGTATTTATCTGTAGTTTTAATGTAGATTTGAGTCCGGAAAGTTATAAAAATGCAAGTTTTAACTATAATCTGCTCGAAATCGAGAGCGAAAACCAATTATTTGTCCTCTAATGCCCGAAGACGCCAAGTTTGACTAGGATTTAAGACATATTAACAAAAGGTAACTGTGTGGATAAAAAAATGATAGTTTGAGTTGATATGTGCAGTTTTGATGCGGTTTTAGGTTAGATATGTGTCGGAGGAGCCGATTTTGACCGGGATGTTCTCGAAACCCGTTTTGACTATAATCTGCTCGAAACCAAGAGCGAAAACCATTTATTTGTCTCAAAGAAATTGGTTTTAATTACATATCTGCTACTAAACTACTTAAAAATTAACTTTCTTGGATTGATAGCAGGTTTTTCCTTCTCATTTTAAACAGATTCCAGTCAAAATCGACTTCTTCGACTCATATCGTACCTAAAACCGCATCAAAACTGCAAATATCAGCTCAAACTATCACTTTTTACTCCAAAAGGTTACATATTCATGTCAATATCTTTCAAATACTAGCCAAAATTGGCGTCTTTAAGCATTATAGTAGAGAAAATCTTCATAAACCAATAAATATCACCACCTTTCTGAGTCAAATAGTTGCCGATTTCGATAAGATACCTGCCAGAATCTGCTTTTTCGCCTCTTAGTGCACCCAAATCTACCTTAGAAAAGCAGATATATACTTAAAACCCCTCTTTTTGAGACAAATAATTGGTTTTCGCCTATGATTTACGGTAGATTATAGTCAAAACTGCAGGTAACTACTTAAAAATTTCACTTTCTTGGATTGACAGCAGTTTTTTTTCCGAGTTCCGACATCGAAAGGATTGACCCACGATCGGCCGCCTGAAGGTCTGATCGGACGTGGCAAGGATCGATCCCGCGGCCGATCGGTGACCTCGAGCGCCAATCGGGCTCGTGCGAAGGCGGACGCCGACCGCCTAGTAAAGTCACATTGTTTTGAGCCTTTCGACTCTTGGAACTCCAAAAGATATCGTTGCCGCCTTCGACTAGAAAGGATACGGCCTTAGAGGCGTTCAGGCATAAACCAACGGATGGTAGCTTCGCACCATAGCCCGCTCGAGCTAGTGCGTGAACCAAATGTCCGAACCTGCGGTTCCTCTCCTACTGAGCAGGATTACTATCGCAACGACGAGTCTAGCTACTAGCTAACTAGCTACGTACAGACCGCCTCCATATACAGACCGCCTCCATATGCAGACCGCCTGCATATACAGACCGCCTCTATATACGCATCGCCTCCATATACAGACCGCCTTCCTATACAGACCGCCTTCGTATACGGACCGCCTATGTATACGGACCGCCTTCGTATACAGACCGCCTCCATATATTGCATCGCTCTCAGCTTACCCCCGGAATCAACTTCAAATTCCAATTATTACGAATTAGTTCTCTGAAGATGCCTTCCTGGTAAAACGAAACGTCGGACACAATTTTAAATCATTGCATCGCCCTCAGCGCACCCCAAAACCCATAAAACCACCTTCAAATTCCAATTATTACGAAATAATGCTTTGAAGATGGCGTCATGCTAAAACGAAACGTCGGACATAATTTTAAATTGTTGCATCGTCTTCAGCACACCTCAAAACCCCGGGAACCACCTTCAAATTCCAATTATTACGAATTAGTGCTCTGAAGATGGCTTCTTGCTAAAATGAAACGTCGAACACAATTTTAAATCATTACATCGTCCACAACGCACCTCAAAACCCCCGGAACCACCTTCAAATTCCAATTATTACGAATTAGAGCGCTGAAGATGGCTTCATGCTAAAACGAAACGTCGGACATAATTTTAAATTATTGCATCGTCTTCAGCACACCTCAAAACCACCAAAACCACCAACAAATTCCAATTATTACGAATTTGTGCTCTGAAGATGTCTTCTTGCTAAAACGAAACGTCGGACACAATTTTAAATCATTGCATCGTCTTCAGCGCACCTCAAAACCCTCGGAACCACCTTCAAATTCCAATTATTACAAATTAGTGCTTTGAAGATGGCCTCATGCTAAAACGAAACGTCGGCCATAATTTTAAATTATTGCATCGTCTTCAGCACACCTCAAAACCCCGGGAACCACCTTCAAATTCCAATTATTACGAATTAGTGCTCTGAAGATGGCTTCTTGCTAAAATGAAACGTCGAACACAATTTTAAATCATTACATCGCCCACAACGCACCTCAAAACCCCCGGAACCACCTTCAAATTCCAATTATTACGAATTAGCGCGCTGAAGATGGTTTCTTGCTAAAACAAAACCTCGGACACAATTTTAAATCATTGCATCGCCCTCGGGGCACCTCAAAACCCCTGGAACCACCTTCAAATTCCAATTATTACGAATTAGTGAAGATGGCTTCATGCTAAAACGAAACGTCGGACACAATTTTAAATTATTGTATCATCTTCAGCGCACTTCAAAACCCCCGAAACTTCCTTCAAATTCCAATTACTACAAAATAGTGCTCTAAGGATGGCTTCCTGTTAAAACGAAACGTCGGACACACAATTTTAAATCATTACATCGTCTTTCGCGCACCTCAAAACCCCCATAAACACCTTTGATATCGTTATCATTGACGACGCCATTCCAACGAAAACCTATAATGAAATGAGCCTCCGACAACATGCAGAGCTTGCTATTTATAGTCAGACGCATAGACCAATAGGATTAAAGCTTAGGAAAATTGCACCTATAATAGTCGAACCAATCAGAATAAAGTATTCAAATAAATCTCATAGCCTACTCCTGAATTAAAAACATTATTCTCAGAATATTTACATTTCTAGTTTTTTTTTTAAATACTTGCGTTGCTCCGAGAGGGTTAAAGTTTTTTTTCAAGGTGGAGGTTAATAAGGTCTATTGGCAGATACTATAAAATCCCCCTCGCCCCCCCAATTGTAGTTAATATTTTCGATTTATTGTTTTAATGTTCGTTATAATTTTCTTTAAAAATTTAGATTTTTATTTTTTTAAAATACTTGCCTTGCTCTGAGAAGATTGAAACTTTTATCAAAGATGGAGGTCAATGAGGTCTATTGACAGATACCATAAAATTCCCCCCCCCCCTCCATTTAAATAATATTATTTATTTTTTAAAAATTTGCAGCCTCACGCATAAATTGCTCTCGACGACAAACGGTAGTATGACTTGTGAGAATCTTTTTGATATCATTGGATAGAGGAAGGATCAAAGTATTTAACGCATGAACTTCAGTTTTTCAAAATAATAAGTAAATAAGATATAAAACGTTAACAATTCATCTTGGATTTTTAAGTCGATTTTTCCATTTCAAATGAGATTTTAAGGTTATTTCTCAACCCATATTAATCCGAGAAAGTTGACATTTATATGGAAGATACACACCAATGAGGTCCATCCGCAGATACTATAATGTCCCCCCAACCCCCCATTTTTAGTTAATATTTGCAATTTGTTATTTTCGTATTGATCATATTTTTCTTCAAAAATTTTAGATTTTTATTTTTTTTAAATATCTACGTTTATCTGAGAAGATTGAAATTTTTATCGAGGTTAGAGGTCAATGAGGTCTATTCTCTAGTACCATAACATCTGCTTCCAATGCCCTCCATTAATAGTTAACATTCTCAATTTATAATTTTCATGGATATCATGATACTCCTAAAAAATTTTGGTTTTCATTTTTTTAAAATACGTACGTTGCTTCGAAAAGATTGACATTTTTTCTGAAGATGGAGGTTAATGAGATCTAACCATAGAAATTATAAACTCCTCTCTCCTCTCTAATTAATACTATTTTTTAAAAATTGCAGTCTTCGACAAAAACTGTTCCCAACCAAAAACCATATAACTTGTGTACGACCTTTTGGTATCATTAAATTATCATTTAATAGAGAAAACACGTATAAATTTCAAATTCCTAAAATTATAAATAACGGAAATATAAAACATTTTATAAAAAAATATATTTTTTTTGTCATTATTTTCTTCAACGAAAGGACTATGAAACTGGTAATTAAACAACCGACTATTTTTTTTGAATACCCCCTTTACCCCCTATCTTCGTGCCAAATTTCAGCCGGATAGGTTAATATCGACCTCGATCCAAAATTTCATGTGTTTGTTTGGTCTTGATTTTTCCCAAATATTTAATTTTTTATTTTTTAAAATACCTACGTCGCTCCGAGAATATTGAAATTTTTACGAAAGATGGAGGTCGATGAGGTCTACTCGTAAATACCATAAAGTCCCTACCAGTCCCCTCCATTTAATTATGATTAAGCATTTTTTAATAATTTTCAGCGTCCTACAAAAATCGTTCCCGACGGCAAACGGTACGACTTGCATAAGACTTTTTGGTATTTTTTTCTAAAATTATAAATAACCGAAATATAAAACATTTTTTGAAAAAAATCCGTTTTTTTTTGTTAATATTTCGTCCCCCGGAAGGACTAAGAAACTTATAATTAAACAATTGACTATTTTTTTTTGAATACCCCTAACTGGACGTTCTCGTTCCCCATTTTCTTGAGTGCATTTTTTACATTTTGCACCATACGTTCTGCTTGTCCATTACTACTTGGATGGTAGGGAGCGACCAAAGCTTGACGAATCTGGTTCGTTTTGAGGAATTGTTGAAATTCTTCGGATGTAAAAGCTGTACCATTGTCGGAGACAATAACATCGGGAATGCCATGTGTTGCAAAAAGTTCCCTCATGACTTTGATAGTCGCTGCACTTGATGTGTTCGGGACCAAACGAACTTCCAGCCATTTAGAGAATGAATCACAATTAAATGGTAAATACAATTAAAAATGATTTACCATTCATGGGGCCTGCAAAGTCCACGTGAAGTTGTGTCCAGGGTACACGAGACCATTCCCATGGATGTACCGGAGCTTTTCTAGGCATATTTCGTGCTTCCTGGTACTCAGAGCAGTTTTGATTTTATTTTCAATGTCACGGTCAAGGTTTGGTCATCAAACGTATGAGCGAGCAAGAGCCTTCATTTTTACCATGCCCTGAGTGTCTAGAATGAAGAAGATCGATCACACTTTTCCTCCCTCCTGGAGGTGTTATGACCCTGGTTCCCCAAAGCAAACAATTTTGGTAACAACTGATTTCGTTCTGTCGTTGAAAGAAAAGCTGAAATTCGTCAGGGAATTTAGATCTTTCCACCGGCCAACCTTTCCATACCCATTGTAAAACTTTGGATAGAATTGGATCCTTGGCTGTTTCACTAGTGATACGCTTAGCATCGACCTCTCTTTCCGGGATGTTCTCAAACATCAAAACATCGGGTGCATTGGGTGGTTCTGGAGTGTTTAATTTCTGGGGTAAACGACTAAGTGCGTCGGTGTTGCCAATTCTTGAGCCTGGAACATGGTGTAGATCGTAGTCATACACTGTGAGCATCAGAGTCCATCTTAGCAATCTCGGAGAAAGGATTTCTGGGATTTCCTTCCTCGGGCTAAAAATACCTAGGTACTTCACGCACTTTACGGTCCAAATCTGTTTCGGAATGTCCAACTCGAATACTTCCGGGTATTCCTTGACAAAGTCTGGGTTTGAATCGCTTATCTGATTTATTCCTGTAATAGTTAAACCTAGCCTCCCAAACCAGTTTCTTCCGAGCAGGCTTGCTCGGTTGCCTTCAGTAACAATAAGTGGAAGTGTAGCACTTTTTTGTCCTCATTGTAGGTTCACGTAACACTCGCCAATTGTCGAAATTAGCTGGTTTTGGTAATCTCGTAGAATTAAGTTACATGGTTTCACCTTTGGAGGGTTGTCCCTAAGAAGTTTTTGAAACGTCGATTTGCCTATTATGGAATGTCCAGCGCCCGAATCGATTTCCATTCTTATCAGTTTCTTATTCAGGAGGACGTCTACCAGATATTTACCAGTGATGCCGTCCGATTTCACACTGTTAAGCGAAAAATGGTACACCTGGTCTTCCGAACTGTTCTCGTTTTGTGGCACGTTTTCGAAACTGCTTTCACTAGATTGTTGGTTCACTTTTGGTTCTTGTTTTGAATGTTTTTTCTTTGAGAAACATGCATGTTCTACGTGTCCTATTTTGCCGCAAAATTTGCACTTTGCGTTTTTGTAAACACACGAGTCTGGGGAGTGCTTTTCTTCGCAGCGAAAACACCTTTTGGAAACTCGCGAAACGCTTGTTTTCAGCTTCGAGGGATCTTTGTTTACCTTTCCGCGTGCGTTTACATCATGGACATCACCTGATTGTCCGCCGCCTTTTGATGATTGCAAAGCTGCGTGCTGCCACCTCGTGAGCAAGGCACATATCATGCGCTTTTTTGAAGGTAATGTTTTCTTCCGCGAGAAGTCGTCGTTGAAGCCCGTCATCGCGCACGCCGCATACGAGTTTATCACGCAACATAATCTCAAGGTTATCGAATCCACAACTTTCGGCCAACTGGCGTAGCTCTTTGATGTAGACGGAAATGGATTCCTCGGGTTGCTGGTCCCGCCGATAAAACTTGAATTGGGAAACGATCTCTGACGTACGAGGTGCGAAATGATCAGACAAGGCCTTGGTTATTTCCTCGTAGGTCTTTTCCGTTACCTTCATTGGTGCTATGAGCGATGGAATTATGTCGTAGGTCGCCGGTCCGCAGATGCTCAGAAATACGGCCTTTTTCTTTCCCGCGTCCGTTATGTCGTTAGCGGTCAAGTAAAAGTCGAGGCGTTCCTTGTAAGAGTCCCAGCTTTTCGAATCGTTAACGTTGAAATGCTCAATGTTTCCGAAGGACGCCATGTTAACTTTCTTCGGCTGGCGTGTCGCGCTTATAACGGGTTCAATTTGTCATTGGCTACTTCGACTTATGTTTCTCACATGTAGGTTAATAATGCTCAGAGACTACCTATTAAATGTTTTATTCTCACAATTACACACTGTCTTAATCCTCAAAACTACTGGTATTGCTACTTCATTCTGTTCGAACACACGGTAACTGTTTAATTGCTTGGTGTGGTTTGCATGTCCTAAAATAAATGTAAATAAGTGTAAGTCCTTGCATTTTTGCTGCAATGCACGAGACGATCGTCCTGTATTCCTTCTTATTTCCGAACTAACGACAATTTCTATTCTTGTCCCTTGCTTTCATTTATTTACACTTGTTGCTTTTTGG